ACCTACGGAGCTTGTTTTCCAGCTGGATGAATGGCGGAACACCGGATACGGGGATCCACGTGGATGGCACTGACAGCAGGGAAACCTTCACCAACAAGTCCCGGACAACCACCCCGGACACAGAGCCATCCGGCGGGGCTATCCGCACCTCCTGCCTGATAGACGGAGGAGGTATCTCTGAGGACGCCATGCCTCCTTAAACACACCTGTCCTACCTACCAACCTACGGATTACTCACCTAACCCTCAGTGAAAGAAACGGAATTACTCTTTCCTGAGTTACTGCGTTTAGATCAGTCGTAGAAGTGATGGAAACTAAAACACACTACTCTCAGGTCTACCACCGGAAATTAATGGATGTATGGATTTATGGATGTATAGATAGATGTATAGATAGATGTATAGATAGATAGATAGATAGATAGATAGATAGATAGATAGATAGATAGATAGATATATAGATAGATAGATACAACAGCCAAAATAACAAGATTACAAAATGTTCACTAGGATACAGACAGACTAACAAACAGCTGAACTAGGCGGGTGTGACAGGGAATGATTGAAATGTGCTTCCTCTTTTGGCCTTTTTGCTGCTCCCCTCTGTTCTACAGGTGTAAACTATTCCTCAGTTTAATGTCTCCAAAGTGAGGAGAAAAACCCACTTTAAGCATGTCTGGCCATCTGTAAAGAGTTTCTGTGATGATATCACTTTTTCTGGTGAGTCTGAAACCATAAAAAAAAAGCAAACTCCTCTTTCAGACCAAAGAAAACATAATATATTCAGATTTCATATGAAAGTGTGAAACTAATCATTCAGAAGTAATCTGACATTGTTAAGCCTGACTTTGATCATCACCCATCAAAGCTCTTGTTCCACCAGAACAAGCCAGAAAGAACCTGAAGGCCTTTAGAAAGCGAATAGAAGCCACAGCTTTTGCATCTCATGCTGCCAACAGATGTTCTTGCTGTACCTGCCAAATTTAGATCTTTTGAAAGTTTCGGTTCCTCCTTCAGCTTCGGATGCTATAAAGGCCAAAACCAAAGTTATTTACACAAAACTTTAAAAGAGATTCAACAAAATACGCTCACAGGTAAAGACAGCTGAAAAGTAAATGCTCCTGAAGATAAATGCTGTCACGTCTGGTGTCTCGTCTTGTCTTGATTACCTATTGTGTACACCTGGGGTTCCCCTCCCTCATGTGTTTAAATAGTCCTCGTTTCCCCTTGTCTTGTGTGAGTGCGTTCTTGTCCATCTGTCCTTCGTCATCCCCACGCCAGCTTTGATTTTTGCCATAGTTTTGTTAATCATTATTTTGGTTACTTTGACACAGTCATAGTTTTGCCTCAGTCTTGTTATTCTTTACTTTGTTACTTTGCCTTTGCTCACAGTTTTCCACAGCTTTGATTTGTACTTTGTCTGGACATTCACTCACTCATGAGTGTTTTTTGTTGTAATAAACCTTGTCTTCCCTCATCTCCGCACCTGAGTCCTCCCCTTCAAGACCCACCCCACATGACAGAACGCACTCGCCATTCAGGACTCAGCGGAGACACCCAGGAGGAGCGGCGGCGACAGTGGCGCCCCCCCCCCCCCCCTTCTGGTCTGAGAGAGCCCATGGGGGGTTTAGCCACCATGCCCAGGAGGCAGCTGAGGCCGGCTCACCGGTCCGTCCTCCTGCCCGTGAGCGTGTTTGGGGCTCGCTCACCTCTCCACACCCTCCTCATCCCGCCGTGGTCGAGCCAGGGAGGCTCGCCACGCCCTCGTCATCCCGTCGTGCCCGTGGTCGAGCCAGGGAGGCTCGCCACGCCCACGCCCTCGTCATCCCGCCGTGGTCGAGCCAGTGAGGCTTGCCACGCCCTCGTCAACCCGCCGTGCCCGTGGTCGAGCCAGGGAGGCTCGCCACGCCCACGCTCTCGTCATCCCGCCGTGCCCGTGGTCGAGCCAGGGAGGCACGCCACGCCCTCGTCATCCCGTCGTGCCCGTGGTCGAGCCAGGGAAGCTCGCCACGCCCACGCCCTCGTCATCCCGCCGTGGTCGAGCCAGGGAGGCTTGCCACGCCCTTGTCAACCCGCCGTGCCCGTGGTCGAGCCAGGGAGGCTCGCCACGCCCACGCTCTCGTCATCCTGCCGTGCCCGTGGTCGAGCCAGGGAGGCTCGCCAAGCCCACGCCCTCGTCATGTCCCCAGTCATGTCCCTCGTCATGTCCCCAGTCATGTCCCCAGCCTTGTCCCAGCCTTGTCCCCAGCCTCGCCCTCGTCATGTCCCCAGCCATGTTCCTCGTCATGTCCCCAGCCATGTCCCCACCCATGTCCCTCGTCATGTCCCTCGTCATGTCCCAAGTCCCAAGCCACGCCCACGCCCCTAGCCACGCCCCTCGCCATGTCCCCAGCCATGCCCCTCGCCAAGTCAAGTCCTCCACGCCATGTCCTTGCCATGTCACACGCCATGATCCAAGCCTCGTGTTTTTTCCCTCTGTTCCTGAATTCCCCCCCCCACCCTCCCGTGGTCCTCGTGTGTGTTTAGGGCCGTCCCTTAAGGGGGGGGCTCTGTCACGTCTGGTGTCTCGTCTTGTCTTGATTACCTATTGTGTACACCTGGGGTTCTCCTCCCTCATGTGTTTAAATAGTCCTCGTTTCCCCTTGTCTTGTGTGAGTGCGTTCTTGTCCGTCTAGTCCATCTTTTCTTTCGTCACCCCCACGCCAGGTTTGCTTTTGCCATAGTCTTTTACTTTGCCATAGTCACAGTCTTGTCACAGTTTTGTTAATCGTTATTTTGTTACTTTGCCACCGTCTTGTTTACTTATTGTTTTGATACTTTGATCACAGTTTTCCACAGCTTTGCTTTGTACTTTATCTGGACTTCCACCGTTTTGTTACATTAAACCTTGTTTTCCGTCATCTCCGCACCTGAGTCCTCCCGTCAAAACCCACCGTCATGACAGTCACATCCAGTAAAAGCATGAAGACCAACAAAAGCTAGACCTTTCCTTGGACCATGAAGACTTGCTAGATGAGATATATTTACAATACGAGTTTTGTTGCCAGTCCCTGTCTTAAAATAGATAGTACTCTCAAAACAATGCACACAATCCAAAGCCAAGACCATGACATCAGTGTCTGGGCTCAAGATAACAATATCTTTATATTCCAAAGAAGCATGCTTTGCATGAAGTAGAAGTCTGGTATCAGCTTCTTTCATGATCACAGCAAAGAGTGCTTTAGGTTCGCTCGCGTACAACACGTTTACGTGCTCTCCTAATTGTTTAGTCCGTGTACTTCGAGCAGCACTTCCTACGGTACCAGCTCAGCGGGTCTCGGCGACTCAACTGTTTACTGAGAGAAAGTCTCAGCTATTTCTTTCTCCCTGCCATCCAGGTCTATCCAGGACTTGCAACTTTCAATAAATCGCCGCCAACTGGCACCAGAAAATGAAATAATTGGACGTTCTTCGTCTTGAAACAAATGCAAAAAACATTTCACGGGCGCTGCCATATTTAAATAACCGAGCTCTCGCGCTGAGATTCAGCCATCTGATTGGCTGATAAGCAACACTCGAATCTCGCGATTTCTTAGATTACGGCGGAACAAATTATATTTTTAATCGACTATAAATTATTAATGTGCAAGTGAAAGGGTGGGAACATTGGCGTTTTGAGATCACTGTAGTCTCTAGCAACTTATCCAAGTTAAAGAAAGTTGCCCGCTAAAAGTTCAAACGGAATTGCTTAAGGAGACGTCGTACAGATTCTGGCCCATGGACTATTAGGTGTGACTCCCCTGCAGACCCCTACCAAAGGAGAAGACATCTACCTGGCCATTAAGGAAATGCTAGCAAAGCGAGGAATAGAGCCAAAACAAGTGATATCAATAACCACTGATGGAGCCCTTGCCATGATAGGGAGAGAAAAGGGAGCTGTGGCAAGGTTGAAAGAAGACAACGCTGACCTGATCTCTTACCACTGCATTATTCATCAGGCTGTCCTTTGCTCCACCCTGTCAGATGAGTATGCTGAGGTGATGAAGACAATGATGAAAATCATAAACTTTCTCAGGGCATCTTCTTCTTGTCAGCATTACATGCTCAGGGAATTTCTCAAAGAGGTTGATGCAAACTCTGATGATCTTTTGCTACACAACAATGTTAGATGGCTCAGCAAAGGCAGGCTGCTAGAGCGATTTTGGTCAATTAGACATGAAGTAACAGCTTTCTTGGAAGATTGGAAAGTCAGAAAGCAGCCAACTTTTCTGTCTTTCTAAATGACAAGAAAAACATGGGTAGCGTAGCTTTTTTGGCTGATATCATGTCACACCTGAATGGGCTTAATTTGCAGCTGCAGGGAAAGAACAATTCCATTTGTGATCTGATGACAGCTGTCCGCTCATTTCAACGAAAACTTCAGGTGTATAAAGAAGATCTGCAAGGAGACTACACATAGGCGGTTTTAGACAGGGGCCAACAGGGGCCGGTGCCCCTGTAGAACCGGCCCTGGCCCCCGTTACGGCCCCTGTGCCGAACTGAATGCGCTATAACAGAAACCGGAACTGATTTGCCGCCACGTTTCATGGGGAATGTTTAGAGCGGTGCGCGCTCACTTAGGATTTTCTCAACACGACAACAAGAAAGAAGGATAGCATTTACAGACGACTTGGACGACTAACGGAAAAAAGAGTAAAGAGACCGAGGTAAGCAAGAAATATGATTGTTTCTTGATGCGCTTTTTGGCTCATCTTTGAGTGCTACTGCCGTTTTTACTGTAATGAAACTTGGCGTCATATTTAAACTTTTGCTTAATGGAGTCCACACTACTTTAGGAACTGATTTAATATTTTCCTCCATGGCATTGCTTTACCAGTGAATTATATATAAAGTTGCTAGTTTTAAACTTAAGGATATTTGAGATTCTATCACAGTTATGCCAATTATATATTATCCATTACTTTCTTGCAGCACAGGAAACGTCAGTAGTCATGAAAAGAAAAAGAGACATTACGTCATATTTCACCGCTGTTAGCAAAGAAAAACGTAGAGAGAGGGAGGATGACAGAGCCAATGAGCAGGATGAAAGAGAGAAAGAGGAGATGATTAGCGAGGAAGCTAACATTGAGACATCAGAAACAGAAGCATTCAATCTTGAGAGTGAGGAAGAAGATGTAGGCTGTGAGGGAGAGAGTGAGGAGCAGAAAGGACAACCAGTGGATCCTCCATCACATGTATCAAGTTCACAGCCATCAGGTTTGTGATGTTGAACAAACCTGTGTGAGTGTTTAAGTACTCCTGAAACATGCTGACTTACTATTGCACTGTAAAAAGAAAAAGAAAAGTACAATTTTCTTGAAAGGATTGAATTTGTCCTTGATTTAACCTGGAAAATAATGTTGTCTGCCAATGGAATAAGTATTTTAACCCTTAAAATAAGATAAGTGTCACGTCTGGTGTCTCGTCATGTCATGATTACCCATTGTGTACACCTGGGGTTCCCTCCCTCTTGTGTTTAAATAGTCCTGTTTCCCCTTGTCTGGCGCGAGTGCGTTTTCGTCTTTCGTCTTCTGTCCTTCGTCACCCCCACGCCAGGTTTGCTTTTGTCTTTTGTCATAGTTCTGCCACAGTCATAGCCACAGTTTTGCCACAGTTTTGTTAATCGTTATTTTGTTACTTTGCTTCAGTCTTGTTTGCTAATTGCTTTGATACTTTGACCACAGTTTTCCACAGCTTTGCTTTGTACTTTGTCTGGACATTCACTCTGTTTTTTTGTGCAATAAACCTTGTTCCCCTCATTCCGCGACTGAGTCCTCCCTCAAGAACCACCCACCTGACAATAAGAAGACATACTCCATTAGAAATAAGATGATGGAAATGATTTTTTGCTAGTCTAACACCAAAAAGCTTTCCCAATGGCGGATAATATTATTTGCCTGCTCGAATCAAGGACAAATACAATTATTAAAAACAATTACTTACTTTTAGTTATGTTTTTTCAGTATGATCTTAATGGATTATAATGAATAAATATATACAATTACAAGCTAATGAATCCACTAATGCTCTGTTACACCCTCATCTTTTCATTGATTTCTTTTCAGATATCAGTAAGTGCAAGGATGATCCACCAGTGCAGCCTAATTTAAGGATATTTCCAACCACAGTTATGGGGGACAGAAGACGCAGCTTCCAAGCAAGTTGGTATGAAAGTCATCCTTGGGTGGAATATTCTGTAATTATGGATTCTGCCTACTGCTATGCCTGCCGACATTTCAGCCCACCAAGTATTTCTGGCAGTGTGTTTGACTCACCATCAGGCTTTAGGAATTGGAAAAAAGCAACCGAAAGAGAGGGAGGGTTTTCGGTACATTCAAAATCTGACAGACATAAGCAAGCAATGATAGCATGGAAGGACTACCAAAGGGCCGTGAAAGCTAATACAACACTGGAAAATTTGCTTAACCAGGAACACAGTAAACAAGTAAAAGAAAACCGTGAGTATATTAAAACAATTGGGGAAGTGATATTGCTCACGGCTAGACAAAACATAGCACAGAGAGGACATGATGAGTCTGAGGAATCAAATAACAGAAATTTCAGGGAAATTCTTGAAATAGTTGCAAATCACGATGCAGCTGTTAAACACAGACTAACATCCATTCACAATGCAAAGTACACTAGCAAGACAATTCAGAGTGAGGTTCTGAATTGTTTGGCAGAAATGGTCCGTTCTGAAATAATTGAAGAAGTAAAAAGCAGTCAGTACTTCAGCATCATGGCAGATGAGACTAAGGATGTCTCAAAACAGGAGCAGATTTCATTTGTACTCAGGTACTATTATAATGGAACAATCAAGGAGAGTTTTCTCCATTTTGAATCTGCTGAAAGACTAAATGCAGTGGGGCTCACTGAAAAGATAGTCCGCTTATTGGAACACCATGGCCTAGACTACAAAAATAACCTTATAGGCCAGGCATATGATGGAGCTGCTGTGATGAGTGGTAAGCATTCAGGGGTCCAGGCGAGAATCAGAGAGCAAGCCAAATTTGCATTTTACATCCACTGCAGTGCCCACTGCCTTAATTTAGTGCTAGTTGATTCTGTCAAAGCAGTACCAGAAGCAGAGGAATTCTTTGCATTGTTGCAGAGTCTTTATGTTTTCACTTCTGGCTCAAATGTGCATGCCAAATGGCTGGCTGTACAAACTGAGATGTATGGCAACACAAGAGAGCTCCAAAAATTGAGTGACACTCGATGGGCTTGTCGGTTCATGGCCCTACGTAACATAATGGACAGATTACCTGCCCTAAAACGTGTCCTACAAGAGATGGCACTAGAGCACAGGGGAGAAAAGTCTTCTGAGGCCCGTGGTCTCCTGGCCCAGATTGACCTAGAGTTTGTTGTGCATCTAGTTACGCTTCGCAAATTGTTTGGGGAAACGAAGCTTCTTTCAGATATGCTGCAGTCATCAACTGTTGACCTCTCAAGAGCAGCAGATTTAGTGGAAGGTTTGGTTCAGACTTTGACAGATTTCAGGCAACAGTCCTTTTTTGACAACCTGTGGGATGAAGTATTAACCATCTGTGAGCAGTGTGATGCTGCCACCCAGTCGTTGGCAAAACGACAAAGAACAAAAAGTTCTAGACTCCGTGAGTACCACATACTAAGCTCTGTTGGTCAGAGGGAGCAAGTTTGTGATAAAGAAACTTATCGGTCCTCTTTCTTTTATCCTGTCATTGACTGCATGCTTAGTGAACTAAGCAGACGCTTTTCAAAGACCAACTGTGAGCTGATGAGTTGTATCCAATCTCTTAACCCCAAGAGCGATGCATTTTTAAAAGACACAACTCTGTTTGAATTTGGCAGTCTTTATGATGCCAATATTGAGGCTCTGGGACCTGAACTCAATCAGTTCATAAGACTTTTAGAGACAAAACTAAAGAGTCACGAGATTGAAAACCCTTCTGATACAGTGGAGTTGATCCGTTTCATTGAGCCATACAAAGACATATTCTGCCAGCTCTTTAGACTGTGCAAAATTGCTGTTGCACTCCCAGTGAGTTCTGCTACCTGTGAGAGGAGTTTTTCCAAACTAAGATTAGTGAAAACCTACCTCAGGTCCACTATTACCGATGAACGTCTCAGCAGTTTAGGGATGTTAAGCATTGAATCCAGAAGGGCAAAGGCTTTGGACCTTGATGCATTTCTTGACTATTTTGCAAGAAACCACAAACGCAGAATACTATTATTGTAGTGTTTGATATTTCCAGTGCAAGACCGTGAGAAATTACTGAAATGAAAATGTGACTGTAGGTCTCCTAAATGTTAATGTACAGGTTTATGAAGGTTTGTGAAGGTTTATTGTTCCTATGTGCTGTATGTGAAATACTTTGAATAGAAGTTTTTGTTACATTGGTGCTCTAAATAAACAAAAATGTTGTTTAAAAAAAAATTGTCATTTTTTTTCCATTCTTCTATCTGTGCCCCCATGAAAAAACAGTGGCCCCACCTTGGCCCCCCTGGAAATTCTTTCCTAGAACCGCCCCTGGCTTTAACTATGGAGACGTGGCTAAAGCGTAGCAGCAATGCTGCTGAAAGTGCAGATGAAGTTAAAAAGAAGGCAAAACCAGAGCCAACGAAGTACAGAACGTACATGGAAAAGTAAGCTTTAATGGGATATATGTCCACGATCTCTGACCCCAGGCACTGTGTTTTTTTTGCTGGGAGAAATTAGCCAACGCTAGCATGAAGCCAGCGCACCTCCAGCGGCATCTCACAACAAAACATGGATGTCACGTTGGTAAGCCACCGGAGTTTTTCAGGAGGAAACTTTTTTAGTTCAAGTCATCCCAAGCCACAATGTGAAAAGCCTCCACTACATCAGCCAAAGCCCTGGAGGCTTCTTACGCCGTGTCTTTGCTTGTTGCTAAAGCCAAAAAAACGTTCACCATAGCGGAAGACCTACTGCTCCCCGCTGCTGTTTTATTGGCCGAAACTATGCTGGACAAAAAAATCAGCGGATACATTAAAAACTGTGCCTCTGTCTAATGACACAGTCTGCCGCAGAATAGATCACATGGGCACAGACATTGTCGCACGAGCTGTGGGGAAACTTGGCGACTCATTTTCACTGCAGCTGGATGAATCCACAGATGTGAGTGGAAATGCGCAACTTGTTGCATTTGTAAGATACATCGACACAGACGACGTCTGTGAACACATCCTATTCTGCAAAGAAATGGAGGGGCGAACAACCGGAGAGGACATTTTTAATGTCGTTAGCATGTTTTTCACTGAAAACGCTATCAGCTGGAAATCCTGCAGCAGCGTCTGCACAGATGCGGCTGCATCAATGACGGGCAGCGCGAAAGGGCTCATAGCGCGGATTAGAAAAGAAAATCCCCTCATCAAGTGGACGCACTGTGTGATACACAGGGAAGCGCTAGCGTCCAAGAAAATGAGCCCTGTGTTTCACGATGTTTTGAACGACAGCATTAAAGTTATAAACTTCATCAAGTCAAGGCCAATTAACGCACGTTTGTTCCGCAGCCTCTGTGAAAATACGGGAGCTGAACACACTGAACTGCTCCTGCATACTGAAGTGCGCTGGCTGTCTCGTGGAAAAGTACTGAACAGGCTATTTGAGTTGCGAGCTGAAGTGCACACCTTCCTGATAAAGCACGGATCTCCCCATGCCACCTTGTTTGAGAACACGGACTGGCTTGCAAAGCTTTGCTATCTGGCAGATATATTCAGGAAACTGAATGAACTGTATATGTCCTTGCAGGGCAAGGGCACCAGCATCCTGAACCTGTATGACAAGGTGGGTGGTTTCCTGAATAAAGCCGAGATGTGGAAAAGGGCATGTGATCAGGAGGATTTCACCTGCTTTCCTCAGCTGGATGCTTTTCTCTGCAGTGAGGATGTGGCGACAGCTCCGGTGAAGTTAGTCATAGTGGGACATTTGGCTAACTTGATCAGTGGTTTTCATTCCTACTTTGCTGACATGGATGAGAAATCTGCACAGCTGGATTGGGTGAGAAATCCATTTCTCTTGTCTGAAGCAAGCTTCCTGTCAGTCATCAGGAAAAACTAATGGAAGTAGCATCTGACCGTGGCCTGCAGATGAAGTTTGGTGCATCCACGCTCACACAGTTTTGGGTGTGTGTGAGGCAGGAGCACCCTGAGCTGGGACAGAAAGCTTTGGAGCAGCTGCTACCCTTTGCATCCACATATTTATGTGAGGCCTCCTTCTCTGCAATGATGCTGATCAAAACAAAGCAAAGAAACAGACTGTGCCTGGAGAAGAGCTTGATCACTGCAGTTGCCTCCCTGCCAATAAGAATGACAAAGATCCTCAGTGAGGTGCAAGCCCATATTTCTCATTAAAATGTATTGAGTAATTTTTTTCCTGTTCATAAATCACTGCCTGTTACATACTGTTCAAATCAAATCAAATGTTCAATGCAAAGTGATTAAAGTGCTATCTTCTTTTTTTTATCCTAAAAGATGTAACCTTTATTTTTTTGTAAGCAAATCTTTATTTAAGTTAATTTATTTTGTAAACAAAATATAATTTATTTATGATTAAGTTATACATTTATTTCTGTGAACACATTTTAGTTATTTATGTAAATATTCAATTTTGTACCATTACAGAGACCAATATAAATTTGCAGCGTTAGCAGCATATTTCAGTTTTGACTGATTTCATGCCTTCCTGGTGGTCACCGTCTTCTGTTTTTCTTTTTTTTTTCTACATGCAATGGTTGGAGTATGGATCAGTTGTTTGGCTTTAATAAATAAGACAGTGATTTTACAGCACTGTACCTCTTTTTTCTTCCAAAAATGTTTTGCCTGTGTCAGGGGGTACTTGACTAAAAACATATTTTTAAGGGGGTGCATCACTGAAAAAAGTTTGAGAACCACTGCAGTAAAGTACTGTTTTGAATGTTGGGTAACTGAGCCACATGTTCACATTGTCCGTTATTGTATTTTTGTATGGATCCAACCCATCTTCCCGCTTATAGATGTAAGAGAAAATGGCAGACGCAAAAGAGGAGGTGAACTATTTTCAAAAATGTTTATTACGTTAAAGTAGTTCATATGTGGTGGTGTTTGTTTCAGGTAACGTTACATTTCTTTATTTCTCCCCATTCTTCTAGGACGATTTGCGAAATTTGGCCCTCAATTTGGTCTCCAGGCTGAGAGCTACATTGAATAATCCAACACCAAACAGTATGTATCATGAGTTACTGTGTTTACTAGGTGGCCATCTCTAGACAACATGTGTGCTTTCATTACATTATGTTGCTTTCCCTGTATACATATAACAATATACAAATACTGTTTTTGGAACAAGTTATTGCAATCGTCATGTAAGTGTTGCTGTCATTATCATACAGCTTACCTATTCATTTAGCCTATAACACAAAAAATGCTATGATGTCAGTGAATTAATTGTGTTGAATGAACAATGAAGTTCAGGGACAGAGCAACGCACAGTCAAGCTCAGCCAGGGTATCCAGGCAGAACACATCCCAGGAACCACAAGAGCACAGTGTGGTGCGTGTACCTACACAGGTACCTTCAGGGACTGCAGTTCAACAGAACATGGCCAGGTTTGGATGTTGTTCAAAGGATGCATCTCAAATGTTTCAATAGCAGCCGTCTTCAGTTCCTCACACAGTTGTTTGACTGCTGATTCAAATTAATTTTATTTCATCTACTCTAACCACAGGTGTTTCCCTGGACTATTTAAAGATAAGCTGAACTGTAGGCCTCCTTCGCGATTGTCAAAAAAAAGGTCAGGCACCAAAACAACGCCAATCCCATTCTTCCTTCTGGACAGCCCAACAGAGAGAACCCCCAAACCATCTGATGAGCTAATGCTTTTACAAGCTGGGTTAGGAATAAGGACTGTAAATGTCCCAGAGGATGCTGGCCATAATGAGGTATGTGGTATGACACTTAATGAAGTCAGAAGTGAAATTTTCACAAAACATTAACCTATACTAAAACAGCATATCCAGTGAAAACAGTAGCCCCAATCTTAGCCACCAAAACCATTTCATTCAGTTTTGGAATGCTGCCAATAGGTGTTATGAACAGATTTGTCTTGAGCTCATTTATTTGATATATATTCGCTAATCTTACTCGCATACTTTAAATTCATAGATTGCAAACATTCTTTCTGAGACGTATCCAAAGATGTCAGATCTGGAGGGTGCCTGGATGTTGCACAAAGCCATGGGTAAAAAGCAAGATATAGAAGTTTACTTTTTTTCTCCAAGCAAAGGAAATTTATTGAATCTTTTTGTTTGTTATAAAGTTGTCATGTATGAAAAGTATGATCCTTCCAACAAGGGGCAAAAAATAAATGTTTGTTTAATATTTTAAATCAAACAGGAGGATCAGGTCAACGGAAACTGAACTTGTTGACACCAGAAGAGGAAGGATACACAGGGGCCAGTTTTGTGAAGAGCTGGGGAGGCAAGGGCTGTCTCTACATTATGCCCATCCAGAACACACTGGACATTTCTCCCCTACCCTTCACAGCCGTGGAGTTCCAGGCCATGCCTAAAGCCCGGTGTGTGTCATGTCAGGAGTATGTGCCTCTGCAGCTCCTCAGTCTCCATGTCAAGACATGTATCCAGTCTAAAGTCAAGGTTGAGGTATGGCTTGCTGATTTGAAACTATAACATTGATGTTCTTTCTCCTTTTTTCATGTACAGGTTGGTGTTAACCCAAAATTACATCTGGCACTGTTGTTTAGAAATTGTTTTTTGTAAGTCAGCACTCTTGATATTCCATTTTATAGACCCCTTAATGACCCTTACTACCATTTGGCACCTTGTATAATAACTTTTTCTCCCACATAAACATGGTAGTATTTCAGCCATCTGAATGCAATATGTAATTATTTGGTGTACATCATAACAAATTTGCTTACACAGAAGGTCCCAGTGAAATGAAATCGTACCTTTCTGGAGTAGCCGTCCATTGCACCAAAAAGTACAATGTTGTACCTGATGGGCACAAAATAAAGACCTATGCCCTGATAATTTAAAACTACACATTTGAACTAAACAATTCTTCTTTTTTCAGCTCTTCTGAAAGAAGTTCTGATAAATCAACAAATTCTAATGGATCAGCAAAAGAACATAATCAGAATGATCCAAGATTTGCAAATATCCAACAGTGGTGTCACAGGGATTCCCATCACTTCAGCCCACATGACCATCTTCCCTCTGAGTGATAAGCCTGCCCTGTATAAACTTGAGAAGGATCTAACAAATCAACCAGACCTCCGTAAGGAACTGGTGAGCTGCTTTCAATTTCTTTTTTTAATTGATGTTTATGCCGAATTGATGATGGAAAATGGGACTCTTTTATTTTGAATTCCTAATTTTGTTGTTTTTTTCTTTTTGTACTTAGGTCATCACTCTTGGATTGGCAGGGGGGGCAACAGTAAAAGAAATTGTGTGGCGCATTTTAAAACAGGCCATCAAAAATGACCTTGCTAAGACGATCTCATGGCGTGGCCTGAATGGCAAGGTGCCTTTTGAAAAGCTCCACCTCAGGGCAGTTGTGACAGGTAAGGATTATCCTGCACCCATATTGACTATTTATTCTATTATTATTATTATTATTTGTCTTGATTAGAATTAAACATAATTTAATCTCCCATGCCATTTTGGCAATGCTCATGACCACTGTTTAATGATCATGATTGCAGTTTGTAAATTGGATGAGCTGTTTGCCATGTTACTTGTACCAGATTAAGTTTTTCTGCAGTATTGTTTTTCTTTAATTTGTTATGTCATTTTCAGATGCTGTCAGACGTAACCCAATCTGTCTGGAAGCAACTGATCTGACCATTGCTGATGCTATTAAAAGGTGGTTCTACTGGGCTGGGGATCGAGAGGGGGGGAGGAAAAATCGGCTGCCAGGCTCCAGCCGAGGGCAGCCAGCAGAATAATTGTATCAATCCTTAATTTATTGTTTTAAGACATTAATTAAAAAAATAAAGTATATATATATATATATATATATATATAAAAAAATGTTTGTTTTGTTTTTTATACATACAGTTATAACACATAAATAGTACATGAGCCTAGGATACTAGGACATAGTTATCACACGAATTAATGAATAAATAAATAAGTAAATAGAATTAAAAATATATTGTGGCATCATTTTGGTTCAATTATGGCATCCTTTTGGATCAGTTTAGGGTAGTTTTTGGCAAGGTTATGGGTTTTTGGCTTCTCTCTGGGGTAGGTTTGGCAACACTTTGGAATTCCAAAATTGGCTTACTTTTGGCTGAGATTTGTTCTTTATTTGGCATGCCAGAGTTGGCCCAAATTTGGGCTGTACATCATTCCAAAGCTTTTCCAAAATGGCAAGCCACATTTGTGCCAAATTTGGGCCATAAAAAAAATTGTTATCTGGGAAGCTGTGAGATGCCTGACCCAGACGCTGATCCTGAGCTCCACCAGATCGTGTCTGAGGTCCAGATCCACAGCAGGAGCCATTCAAAGTCGTGCAAGAGGGGGAACGTGGTCTGCAGGTTCGGGTTCCAAAAGTTGCCTGTGGACAAGACCACCATAACCTTCCAGACTGTTGCTGATGTAGAGGCCTTTCTCAATGATGGGGAGATGCTAGATGATGAGGGGCAGTTGTGTGGGGATATTGAGGTGCTGGGTGATGAGCGACCCAGCACCAGTAGAGCGTGCCAGGAGGAGCAGCCGGTGCTGGGTGAGGAGCGACCCAGCACCAGCAGACAAGGTGAGTCTGACGGTGAGGAGACCGATGAGGAGCGACCCGGTTCCGGTGGAGAGGCCCAGAAAAAAGGTTAGAAAAAGAAAAGTCTGGGCCAAAGGCAAATGGAGGCCAAAGAAAAGCTAAAGCCCATTAGGGACTTACTCTCTGACCCAACTCAGTCATTTAGGTACTTGTCAGACCTGCTCCAGAGATGCAACCTGACACATGACGAATACCTTGGCCATGTGTACAATTTAAGCGAAAGCTACACACTGGTGTACAAGCGTCATCCAAACGACTGTTGGGTCAATGCGTACAATCCCCATCTGCT